AATCCAGCCAGGAGACACTTCTGATTAAGTTCTAGCTGCTTGTGAACTTCTATAATTGAGACACGTTGGTACTTAAAAATTCCAGCCAGAAAGAATATTATACAGTCTCATAAATTTCAATGAAAAGGGCCAGAAAGCCTAACTTAAATTATCTGGTTGTGAACTATCTCACCGTTTTTATAGGGCATCTAGTCAAATGAAGAATAGCAGTGTTGAATCACCACTGTTTTGAATATGTAAATATTAGATTCACGAGTTTATATTTTGTAAACAAAAGAAAGCATTAATTTTGTAGAATGCAAGGATTTTGATTTTATTTTCCCCTCTACTGGTGGTTTTGCTCTCTTTTTGGTGGTTTATGGGAAATAAATTACATATTTATAAACTCATTGATTGGAATTATTTAACCTTTTAAGAAATATTCCTATTCAGATTAAGAAGGAAATCTGAAACTACCAGACTAATGAATCAAAATGTCTTCAATGGAGCTTTCCTTTGAAAGCTTTATGTCTACAACAATAAATTACCCAGTGATAGAACCTCAAGTAGTTTTTTTGTTGTTTGCTAAAACATGATTTAATCCCATAAAGTAGGCAAACCAGAGACATTCATCCATCCCGACATTCATTCATTCGTTTACTACCTACCTTTGACCTTCCCATTGGTGGATGTGGTCTAGTTGGAGAGAGAGATATAAAATGTGCCATACCGTAGCAAGTGTTTTGGGAACATAGAAGGTTGATGACTAGCTGTGCTTGGGTGATTGGAGGACATCTTTATTTAGGAAGAGACCAAGGCTACTGCATATAATTGTGTAGCTTCTGCCCTGGACGAGGGTATTGTGCCAGAGGAGTAACTGAGAATGTAACCAAGTTCCTGCCATAAGGTCTGAACATACACCCTGGTGACAGTCATGTGCGCCTAGAGGATGGGCTCTTTTCAGCTGCACAAAGAAACCATGTTCTGACTCAAAGATTGAGTCAGAATCTGCCTGGCAGAATTCTGGTAGTTAGGTTTGTCATGGAAGGGACCTGGCATGTCTGGGGAAGAGAAGAATGAAAGTGAGAAGTGCACTGGTTTGGGAGCTAACTGTATTTTTAAGCAATGGGACACTTTAATTCTGGGGTGATGTGTGGTGAAAGTTAGTGGGACAGGCAACATCCAGAGGAGAAGAGATGTGGTAACTATGACAGCGGAGGATGAATGGAGAAAGGGTGGAGGAATAGGCATCCGGCTTTAGAGAGTGATGAACTGGTGACTTAAGGTCCTAACTCTAGATCCCTGGGGAGGAAGTTTGGGGTGGGAAAATGTGCTGACAGCCACAGTTTGAAGCAGTTAAGAGTTTGGTGGGCAGTAAGAGACGCGCAGAGTTATAATGTAGGCTCTGAATGCGCCGGCATTTGAGGTCTGTGGCTGAAGCCATGGGCACAAATAGGATCACTGAAAAGAGCATATGACAAGAAGAAAAGGCCCTGCCACATGAGCTGGCAGTTACAAAAGGCTTCTTGCTGCTAGTGAGAACTGTTTAAGTAGAGGACTCGGGATGGAAGTCACCTTGCAGAAGACTGAGGATTAAATGAACACTCAAGGAGACAGAGGTTCTCATCCCTACTACACATTAGCATTTTCTGGGAAGGTTTTAGAAAAACAATCAATGCCTTCATCCTACCTTTAGATATTTAGAGTTAATTGGTCTTCTGTGGGGCCCAGAAATCAGTATTAAAAAAAAAAAAAAGAAAAAGAAAACTTCCTAGATAATATTAGTGGATTGACAGAATCAAGAACCTCTGGCCTTGACTATTCTTTAAGAAGTATAAATAAAAACCCCAAAGCTTGCAAGCACGTGATAAGATGCTTATAATCACAGGGGATCAGAGAAGAATAGAATCTTTGTTTTAAAGGTGAAGAATCTATATATTCTAATGTTGGCAAAAATGGAAAATCTGAACAAGGCTTTCCTGTAGCTGTGGTGTACCCCAGCTCTCAGAGAATACTGGTGGGTAACGGCACTGCTGCAGCTACTCTGTGGGGCAGTGTGGGTATGTGACCTCCTTAGGGCAGCCCTGTGACCCAGCAGTTACACTGCTGGATGTGTCTCAGGAAAATTCTCCCACAGGACTTAAAGGAACACACACCAGCATGTTCCAAGACAGCCAGTGTAGAGTAGGGAGAATTGGAGATAACCTGAGTATCCTTCCCTGGGACAGTGGATTCAGTAAAATCGGGCCATTGTACCCCATGGCATATACTATGCAGCCATTAGAAAGAATAGATTAGATCTATAGAATATTAACATGGATGGATCCTAAAAACATCATGCTTACTAATATCATAGTAAACAATAAAGAAATATGGTAAACCCCTAAAAATACATGCAAAACAGCCATGTATATATAAATAAGAAAAATATACTCAAAAACCTAGACATTATAAACCATTAAAGTGATTGCCTACACATGAGTGATGATGTCACAGAAGGTGTGTTATTTGAAAAGTATGATTCCCAGACATAACTTTCCTCTGTTCATATGTGAATACATGACCAGTGAAACTCCACCTCATGTACAACCACAAGAATGGGATCCTAATTAGAGTAAGTTATACTCCATGTGTGTATAATATGTCAGAATACACTCTACTGTCATGTATATCTAAAAAGAAAAAATAAAAAAATGTAAATTAAAAAAAAGTATACTGGAGAAAGGCCATGTGAGCACACAGAGAAGGTCTCCAAGGGGGGAGCCTTCACCAGAAACCCACCCAGGGTAATCTGGAACTTCTGGCCTCTAGAACCATGAGAAAGGAAGTCTCTGTTATTTAAGCGACTCAGCCTGTGATGTTTCCTTATATTAACCCAAGCTGACTAATACCGTCTAACTGTTCAAAAAAATAAAAGTGTGATTCCAAGAGGAATGAGACAGGATGGAAGCTAAAACAGGAAGTGGGGAAGGGTAAGGAATATATGTTTTAACAGTGCGAAGAGTTGTGAATGGGTGGATGAAATGGAAGATTCCAGGGGATTTATTTCCAAGTAGTATTCCTTTCTTCGTCTTGTCCCCAACCTTAAGCTCATTGTTTGTTCCTCATTACTAAAGTAGTATTTGCTCATTACAGATATGTCAGGAAACTGACAGCAAAACTAAAAGAAAGATCCAAAAACCTACTCACCCAGAGACAGAGTCAGGGATCCTTTTTTATGAACAGTTGCCAAATTAAATGGAAGCCTTTTGGTAAATGGAAGTATGTGAGCTGCCTCGTGAGTGTGGAGGTTGTGCAGCTTCATTTTTAATGTCTTCCTGGTGTTCTGTTGTGCAGACCCAGGGACAGAAATGTGGTGAGCCCCCCATCACTAGACATCATCAGTTTCTAAATTTTGCCACCTCAAGTACTGCCGTGAGCAAACTTAAGCAATACCTGCCTTTAAAGACAATTTACTGTCCTTCATTTCTCTCATTTTGAAAGGAAGATTAAAGATGGGATTTTAAAATTTCTACCAAAAAGTAAAAATTAATTCTGCATCACCTAAATTCAGAGCACCCGACCCTCTTGGGACTGTTCTGGGGGTCAGTGATGAATGAGAATGAAGGAAGAAGGTCATCCCCCACTGTGTAGACACAGTCATAGGTGCTTGTCCCTGTGCCAAGGGACAACAGGGCCCCCTAGTTGCCGTACTTTAATCTCTGATGCATGAATTAAATCACACAGACTGTTAGGAGATCTACTGTGGGTGGTATGATCCCCTCATGTGATGGTGGTAGGACGGGAGGTACTGAGCTTTGGGAGATTATATAGAAATAACTGTTTATGACAAAAGAACCAAAGTATGTTATTGAATCTATATGCAGTACCCAAGTTACAAACAATGCCAACAAGCCCCAAGGAAAGCACAGTGTGTATTTTGAGCACTTGCTATCCCACAAGTTCCCCAAACCCAGTAGTTTTGAAGATTTAATGTAATCCTTCCAGTTGGTGGGCTTACGCACGAGAAATCCAGTGCCAGTGTTTCTTCAGACTCTTATAGTTAGGAACTGGCCAGGCCACTCTGCAGCCAGCTTGTCAAGGCCCTGAAGAAATAGCCTGAATGTGGGAGACAGGTCCCTGGAAAACAGGAATACACCAACACTTCACATCATCAATGCAGCATTTGTTATGTATGGCAGCAGGATAAGTGCTCTCCTGTCTTTTGAAATAGGTCCTTTGTTGTCTAGAAACTCTGAACAGACATAGCTGTTTCTAGGGGCTGTTTTGAAGCTCCAGCCTATGAGTATTTTAACATAGAATCATATCCCAAAGAGTCAGTGCAGGGCAGCGCTGGGCTTTTGGCAGACAGGGCAAGCCTCCGCATGAGTTACAGTTGATAGGGCAAGGAGAGCTCAAGGCTTACAAAAATCCCTTCTGTGGCCTGCTTAAAAATAGCAGTGTAGGCCATAGCTTAGTGTTTTGACAGCTTATATCAGCAGTTTTCTTGCCTGATATATTGATTGCAGTTTGGACTTCAGTCCTGCTGATCTAATAAAACATCACCATCATAACAGAGAAAGTAAAAGGATCTTTGGTCCCTGCCACTTGGTAAAGTATCTCTACAAAGCTACTATGAACCTAGCTGTATTGTTTTATGTAAAATGAAATAAAATTGGACCAGTTGACTGATTACATTTTTATTAATCTTTAGTTTCTTCATCCGTCAGCATGTTGCTTACTAACACTATTCAACATATTTTTACAAATATGCATTTGTTCAAAGAAATTCAATGGTATCCTCACAAATTCTAAAATGAGTTTCATGCATCAATAACACAAACAGCCTAATAGTGCATCCAAGATGGTGATGCTCCTGACATTAAGTGGGGGAAATGCATGCACAAAAAGGCAACCAGTGTCTGAATGAATATCTAAGGCGTGTATGTACAAGTCTCCTTGTCACTCTGAGGATATTTTTACTATCTTGCATTCACCCAGCCTTCCATCCTAATTATGCTAAATATCCTTTAACTTTACAGCAATTGTTGACCATCCAGGAGGAATTAAACAACAAAAAGTCAGAACTGGAACAAGCAAAGGAAGAGCAGTCCCACACACAAGCTTTACTAAAAGTCCTCCAGGAGCAAGTAAGTGAACGAGAAAACACTCTGATTGACGCATCAAGTAAAATGTGCCTGGTGCAAACACCCTAGCATGTCACTCACACAAGCATGGCTGAGGTCATCTCTGGAGTAATTAGCCCATACCCTGTCAATCCTACTGGCAGCTTTGCTTTGTGGAATTTGTCATTCTCAACTTCTCTGTCCTCACCCTGCATTTACTTATATTCCCCAAGCCCACCCTCATTGTGTGAATGTTTCTCCCAGAAGACAAGTGAATTTTGATAAATTTTTTCAATGCTGGTAGTGCAGATATATTTCAAAGTAAGCAGCTAGCTTCCTCTAAGTCTAATAGTGAGGAAAATGAATTTAGCATAATCCATGATGTTCCTGCAGACTTATAACTAAGAAGGACTGATTCATAGCAACATTAAAAAAAGTCTCTTCCCTGTGTGCTTCAGGGCACTTATCTGACCACGACAAGCAACAAACCTTTCATATGATCTGATCATTTCATTCTTGCTTTCCTTGATACGAAAGTGTGGCCTGACATTGATAGGTGGATGGAAAATATCGTCTTACAGCAGGATGAGATGGATCACTCCACAGTCAACAGAGTGAAATCTAAGCCTCACTCTCTGTACTGGAGGAGCCAGGAGAGTCCTCGAGAGGTTTTCTGATTTTCTGGCCTTCACTTGCTGCCAACAATGTAATGATTGGTAATTAGGAGGGGAAAAAAATCACAGTAACCTCAACTCTCTGTAGTCAAATGTAAGTTGTTTTAAATTTTTCATTCACACATAGTGGTTTATAAGAAGATTATTTTAGAAAATAGGAAGCAGCAAGAGTGTGGCCCTAGTCAGCTGGTACTTAGTCACTTAAAAATGATTTTTATTTTTTTCAAAAATTTGGGGTATATATATTTTTTTCAAGAAAGCAAAGATATTAATTAGATAGTTTATAAACTTTTTATAGCTATGCAAGAAAATATTTTTAAAAAGTAATGGTTATCTTTATTGAATAATAGAGACTCAGTAACTTATACTGAGGCTGAATTGTATGATTTCAGGTATGTTAGATTGAACTGAAAACTTCAGTCAACTAAATTCACAATGACCTACTATTTGGGAGACCACAAATCACTGTCCACCCCACCTTGATATAACCCTAGCAAAATTGAGCTGACTTGGTCCAAATTTGCTTCAGGTCAGATAGTCATAACTTTGGGCTTTCATTATTTTCTGCTCTCTCTGCTGATTTTTTTTTTAAGACGGCTTTAACTGAGGTGAGGAGAGGTGACTTTCTCTTTTCTCTAAATGACTCAAAGCCTTTATTTTTATTTAAAGTCGAAACTCCAGTTATGAAATAGATTCTGAGTTGTGCAGAAAGTATCGACGTAGTCTTGTTAGGGTATGCATTTTCAAAGAGCAAAGTGCATAGGTAGGCATTGATGGAATATCACACCTCACTTTACATGACTTAAATTTTAAAAAGGAGAATGTTAAGAGAATTCAGAATAACTGAAATCATGCAAGACATAGAAAATACAACTGAGAAGAAAGTGTTTTTACATTTACAGTATTAATTTAAATGCGAGGGTACTTTTTAAGCAAGGTCACCAAGAATACCTAAGTCTACGGAGCCAGTGAGACATAGCAGCCAAAGGAATTTGAACAACACCAAGCCATTTGCCTGAGAGCCCCTCGCCTGCTACCCCTGGTCTGCCTTTCAGAAGATGGCATACAATGTACATGGAATCTACCTACAACCAACCAGCCACCCACCCACAGGCTGAAAAATGCACCCCTCACTTCCACCAACATTGCTTTATGAGGTTTGCTTTGGATTTGTGTAAATCCATTATGAGCTTATGAATGGCCTTAACAAATGGGCTCACGCACGCACACCACACACACACACACACACACACACACACACTGTATTTTGCTATTCAATACAGCTGCCACTTGCTGGGAATCCTTACCAGAAAGGCAGAGTCTTGAGGGCAGACCCTCCTACTGTTGGCTCTCCACCCATCAGGGAAGTCAGGTCACTCTCTATGCCCTGTACCTTCCTGTAGGCTGAAATACAGCTTCCTTGGGTCCCTCCAGGCACACAGACTCCTATCTTTCATCTTCTTGACAATCAAGAGTATACTCTACATCCAAAGTTTGTTCATTAACCTAAAATCCATCAGATAAAATGTTCACGTTCCAGCTGAAGAAAGCAGCAGAGTGAACGATAGCAGTGGACAGAGGTAGGAAGAGAGACAGCGGGCGCATCAAAGGGAGGACAGTTTGAGGATAGCATGGACTAGAGAGGAAGGAGTTTATTTAAAAGGGAGAAGGAGGCCAACTGGCATTTTTATGCAGTTAAATAAACTTGTAGAAGGTAGAATGGTAGAATGGACTTTGACAAATAGTCATTTACTTCTGCTGCAGAACAGAGCCACCTTCTGAGCAATCCCCACTCCAGCTCATAAAAGCACAAGTTATGGGACCAAATGTGGAATGAGCAGAGGAATGTTAAAGAGGAAGAAGATGAGGAAATCTTCAGCTAGAAGAGCTAGTTTTTGTTTATTTGTTTGTTTGTTTCTTAAACCAGGGACTTAACTCATGGCCACTTAACCATTGAGCCACATCCCCAGCCCTTTTAATTTTTTTTTTAGTTTGATACTGCTTTTAAACTTGGAATTCTCCTGCCTCAGCATCCCAAGTCACTGAGATTACAGGCATGCACCACTGCACCCAATAAGCAGAGCTAGTTTTTTGTTGCTGTTGTTGTTGTTTTCACTTTATAAAGAAAAGAGCTAGTTTTTTAAGTCCTTTTGTGCACTACCTCTAATTTGATGCACCTTTTCTATTCTTATGTATCAACTGCATTTGTTATGCATAAGAACATCTATGATGTAGACCTAAAGAAGAATGGGCATTTTTTTTCCCCCTTAAGCCAGTTGATGTGACAATAAGCCAAAGAGCCTTGGATCCATAATCAGCTGCCCCATCCTCAAATTCTGCATGACAAATTCTTCATGTCACTTTGGCAAAACTCTTCTGTCGGCCTGGAGGGCATGTGGCTTTCTTTCTGAGATTAAGATTGCATTAAAAAAAATCTAAAGATGCCTTCATTTTAATACACACAAATAGCCAGAAAGAATCAATGTTCTGAATCAAACACATTGGTGGTGCATGCAAATTTATTTTCTTTCAGATTTTAAGTATTTATTTCCCACCATTAATAGGTCAGGAGGAAGTGCTAGCAAACTGTTTCAAGGCCAGCTTACCCTTCTTCTTTGCTCTCTGCCTCCAAAGGTCTGCTTTGAGTCAGAATAGGATAAAATGCCAATTACAGGTTTCCTGAAATCTCCTGATAACTGATTACTCTTAAGCCTTCTGAGAGAGAGGAGTATTTCCAAATGTTCACAAGTTAAAAATCTCATTTAAGAAATAGCTTTTCTTTGAATGCTTCAGTGGCCAAGGAGATGTCTTCCCAATTCTTCCTTTACTAAAAGAAGCAAACTGTCTTCTCCAGTTAGGCCTCCAGAGGTGATGTCATTCATTCAAATATGTACTCGAGGAGGACATGTACAGTCGCACTGCAGCATGTTCAAATGACTGAAAAAATCCATCATTCACAAATAATCGTTAGTATAACATCATTTAGCTACTGGCAACTTGCAAACACTGCAGGGTTTAAATTAATAGCAATCCAACTAGGAAATGAAATCATTTATTATTCTTAAGAACCAATTTTATACATTTTATGCCTATGGAACTGCTTTCTAATCTTATTATTTAAAAAATAATGACCAAGACCCATTTACTTTTTTGCCAGCCCTCAAGCTTCATAAAATATTGGTCTCAAACTGATTTCTATAAGACTCATTAGAATTATGTGCTCCATCTGTTTCTACTCTTCCATTATACAATGCAACCTCAGATAAATCAGAGTTAATAAGATGATTTATATACTTAACAGTTATGCTTACATGTTCATTTTTTTTTGTTTTTTCTTTAAAAATTGCAGTTAAAAGGTACAAAGGAATTGGTGGAGACCAATGGCCATAGCCATGAGGATGCAAATGTAAGTACCACAAATATGGTATTTGTTATTTTCACTGGATGTCAGTTGAACCCATAGAGATATGGTCCTTTATTTGTAACATAAAGGAAATCAGAAACTCTGCCTCTCAGTAGCTTAAAAATTATTATGTAGGCTTTGGCAATGAAATGTGGTAGATAGGCACTGCCGTTGTTTGCTTAGTTTACTACATACCAATTTAAAAGTACTTGAGCTAATCCCCACCATCAAAAATTCTAATCTCTCTGAATTTGTTTGATCCCTTTATATTTCCAAAGCTATAAAGTGATAATATATTGGGAGGGAAAATGGAGTGTGTCCCAATAGGCTAATAAGTTGTATATTGCATGTATAGCTATTAAGTTTGCCTGCCAATGAAGATAGTAATTAAATGATTGACATGCTGAAGAGGTCTCAGAACACCCCACTTCTCCCAGAATAACCCTTGAAATTGTACTTCTGTTCCTGATCCAAAACAGTAACAGGATGTATTCATCTTTTTGATAGAACATGAGATACAATGATGCAAGATCCCAGTTAGCACCACAACTTTCTTCCTTAGTGTTCCCTGAATATCTCATGGCCAGAAAAGAAACTAGTATTCTTCATACCTTAGAAGCTCTTTGGTCTCAGGTGATGGAGAATTATACCTTGCGGATCACTGTCTCTGCATATGCTCGGTGGTTTTGTTTATGTCTTTTTTCAGATCTCTCTTGTATCTGTATGTATTTGATTAGCCTTGTCACAGGAAATGCTTACTAAGCAGTTCTTTTCACATAACACAGAATCAGACATGGTAATGAATGCCTGATTAAGCTACAGCTTGGAGAAATTATATATTTCATGTTCTCTCTTGTTTTAATTATATACGGCAGAGAACCCAATAACCAGAGTGCCAAAAAAAATCCCTCTTTGCAAGTGTGTTCATGCCCAATGGATGTGCACAGTAGGATGCTAAGTGAGGATCATTGTGTTCCTGGTCCCCTACTGAGTTCCAGGGAGAGGGGCAGGGAGTCCAAAGAGGCATAAAGTGTGTAGTCTGCCCTCAAGAAACTGAAACTCAAGCAAAGGAATCTAGGAACACTTGACAATGTATAGGAGGTAAAGTACCCAAGAAGGTGAGGTAGCTGTGACAGGGTGTGATTTGAAATCCAGATTTTTCTGCTTATTAATTAATTGCATCAGCTTGCCAATTAACCTCTCTGATCTGAGCTCCATTTGCCTCATTTGTAAAAAGAATGACAAAGCTTCTCTTAAAGAACTTGTCATGATATGTAATGAGCTAAGGCCTAAATGAGTGAAAGTCTTAAGGTGTCACGACTGTTTCTTTGTGCTGGATAATCAAGAAAAGCTTCCTGAGTCTGTGGGATCTAGGTTGGTTTGGGCTTCACTGACAAATAGAATGGCAAGTGGCACGAACCCTGTTCATACAGCGCTCCCCACTGACAATGTTGTAACATATGTAGAGTTAGCCTTCCTACTGCCACAGTTCTTCACTGCCATAGCCTCTTGCCCTGGAACCCCTCGCTAGTATCCTGTATTCCAGGAACACGCTGCCGTCACATTCACAACCAAAACTTTCATATCTATTCCACTCAGAGCCAGTCCCTCTGTGCCTTCCAAGGAAGCTGCTGTCTAACCCAGCAACCCAGTGGCAGTGTGCCTCAGTGTCCTTATCTGTAAAATGGGGATATTTCCTGCCTTCCCTTCCTTAAGGTTTCTTGTGAGGAGCAAATGCAATGACAGATGTGGGAGTGCTTTGTCACTGTGAGATTCTGAGTAAGAAAGTCCTTTCCTGGAGAAATGTTGAAAGTCGTCTATTATCAAATAATAAGGGTGGTGGGAAGGGAGATCATCTTTAAGATCTTAAAAGAAAGTTCCCAGATTTTAATAATACTTCTCTAGGGTCAAAGAAATGACCATCAAGAGGTGGGGTTCTAACTCTGGAGAGAGAAGAGTGACCCTTGGCCAAGGGAAGTGACAGAGCCTGACCATCCTAGCCAGCCAGTTTTGGCATTCCTTCCCCACTGGGGCAGAGAACGGAGCTAATTTTTCTGCCTAGATTGTCAAGGGGTTTCCCAGTACGTGGATGAAGCACTTTTTCTTTTCTTTCTTGTCTGTAATTTTGTCTCCTTTTGGAATTTTCCTTAGTACTTCCAAAAGGATTATGTGAGAGCCAAGAAATAATTTTAAAAAATCAGTTATTTGGGTCACGCATCAGAGGCTCTAGCAAAATACTTTGTGAAGACATTTTTTTAATGTCTGAAACTAAGTCTCCATTTCATCTGGAGTTTCCACCAGCCCTACTGTGATTGAAAAAAACAAAGCTTTCATACCAGAAGGAGGGTTTGCATCCTGTGTGATCACTGAATAGCCATCTGACCCTTCTGAACTTCACCTTCCTTTTGTGTTAAGGGAACCATGGACATGAACACCTGGCCTGAAGTGTGCACCAACTGGTGTGGATTCCCTCTTCATGCCTCAGTGGTAATTTAACATAGCAGGCAGGATGAATTCTAATGCAGCTCATGAGGTTTAAAGCCTCTGGCCCAGAGGCTGTTTACTAAGACATATGGATTTTTTTTTACTATAATTATTCACATCTAGAGGCAGGAATTTTACACATTATCATTTATTAATAATAATTAAACAGTGGACTGGTGCCAGCTAAGCTGGGTATTCTTGTGAGAGTTGACAGTTGCTTTTAAAAAAAACAGTATATCTTATTTCTTTTTTTTTTTTCAAAAAAATGTCTATTTGAAGTTTGCATATTACAGAAAAGAATACAGAGACAAAGAAAAATAATTTAGTACATCATTATTCAGAGATAACCACTACTCACATCTCATTTTAGGTTTTTCCCTCTGGTCATGGATGTGTACCTGATAGAGAAAATCTATAAATGTTATTATATTACCAGTTTGAACCTTTTTGATTTCTCATTATATCATAAATATTTTTCTTGCCACCAAAGGTTCCTCAAAGATGTGATTCTTAATGACAGTATAATGTGAATATGTAATAACAGACTCCTGTGCCTATGTGTTAGGCATTTAAGTTTCCATTTTTTGCTGTTATAAACAATGCTGTAATTAGCATGCCCTTAAATCTTGGTTGCATCTCTTGTATTTGTTTCTGGGGGATTCCGTATCTTAATAGCTATGTCAGTAGTTCTGGCAGAGAGCTTCAGACTTTTGGAATTGCTTGGCCTTTGGAATGGTAGTGTCGTACCTGCACTTTTATGCTATCCACTTTTATGATATTGAAGTGATCCACTAGAAGATATGGTGAGTCTTGCAGTTTTGACTTTTGCCTTATTCTCCAGTCATGGTGTGTTGCTACTACTTTTCTATTATTTTAACATTTTCCTGAGCACCACTGAATCTGACCGATCCTTGGTCCTGCATTCTTGAGGTCTCAAAAAAGTAAATCAACCTTTAGAAAGCACCCCCTTCCATGTCACAAGACTTTCCGTTAGGTGGTGCCCAGGAGGAGAGTATTCTAGAGGGTAATTTAACAGAAACCAAAAGCACCTGCAAAGGCCTTGTTCTCCAAGAGGATTTGTACAGTTCAGACTCACACTTGCTGATTTTCAGTATTTTTCTTCTTTTTATTTAGAACTGGATATATTAATAATAGATGGTGAGTTCAACCTTTTACACGTACCCACATTTAAAATTAACCCTCAGCACAACTCCTTTAGGCACTTCAGTTAGTCCACACCCCAATTTCTTTTCTAGAAAGCAAAACTGTAAATTTCCTTTTGATCTCTATCTGGAGCTCTCTCCTAATCCCTAGGACCCCCAAATAACTAGACTGGTACCTGGCAATTATGTATAATAGATATCAAAATCTTAAATTAAAAAAAAAAAATCTGTCCTCATCTTGGATCTTTTTTGACAGCCTTCTTAGCAGCAGCACCATCCATGATTCTAATGTGCATGTTAGGAGATTAAAGGGTGGGGATGGGGGGTGGAAGAAATGTTGCAGCAGGTAGGAGACATGAAAGAAAGGGTCAGCTGAAGCCTTCAGAGTACAGAACCCCTCGGTCTAAAAGGTTTCTATGCACATCTCTCCTGCACCCTTGTTGCTGGTATAGGAAAGCTGCCACCCCCCATCCCTCATTTGCAGGATTCAGACTCCACACGGTGGAGAGAGGTGAAGAAATCATTTGCAATCTGTAAAGAGGTTTAATGGGCGACACCCATGGTTTCCACTGTCAAACAGAACACCCTTCCCACTCAACAATAAAACAAAAGCACAAAAGGACAAAGACTTTTCAGTTTTTCACGTGTCTCCTTAAGAACGTAAATCCTCAGAGCTGTCTTTAAATCTGTCAGAGTAAAGGTGTTAAGGGTGTATAGAAGAGATACTGTGTGAGGAACATTCTTCAAGTTTAGCACACCATGGCCAAAAGCTGCCATTAACCATGTATTTTAATGATGGATATTAAGGAGCCTCTGTAGGTGCCCTTTGCCCAGTTTCAGAGTGTGGCTTTCATCTTTCAGTCAGGTAAAGCAAGAGATAAGAACACATACTGTGTGTTAAACAAGGAGAGACCAAACACCTCTAATAGGAAGCAGATCCTCATTCTCAAAGGGAGAGAGCAACTCGGGCTCCATTCTTTTTTCCATAACCACTTGCTGCCTAGCCTAAGGGGCCCCAATCTTGAGCTGGAATAATAACAGACTTAATGACAGTGTACCCTACTCCATCCCACCAGCTCCAACAAAGTCCCAGGGAGGACTGACCAGCAGATATCATTCCCTGGGGCCAAATATGCCACAGTCCTTCATGTTCCACTCAATTCTCTCCTTCTCACCATCTCATGCTGACCCCACTTGTACAGAACCCTCACTCTGTGTTCCCATGCTGCCTGCCATCCCTCTCTTATTCCTTAAACCCACAGATACTCATGAAGGGAGGTAGAAAAGTGCAGGGGTGAAGCACAGATCTGAGTGCTAAACAGTTTCAATCCTGACTGGCTCTGAGGACCCTGAGCA